TATAGCTAACACATTCAATCTATTTTGTAGCATAGTTGATCTTAAATATGATTTAATCAATTTTAATTTTGAAAAACTTTTTTCAGCAGTCCCAATAGTTATAGGTCATGTTAATAATATTCTATAAGCAATGTATGTATTTGGAAAAGAACATGATTTTTTTATGTAGTTCAATATTTTTATTGGTGTGTTAATTTCATTTGTTAGAATTTCTTTCAATAACTTGAATTCTGAAAACAAATAAAAATCATCAATATCAGAATGGTCTTCAAAACTCAAAATCTTTTCAAGATTGATACAATATTTTTTCAATTCATCTTCCCATAAAGTTATTTGAATGAAATAAAAAACCAAACATATTTTCATATTCTAAAAATTGTTTAAATCGACTCTCAATAGAAGAAATAGATTGATCTAATATATACAGAAAATAATAACTGCGAAAAGAATCTTTAGCAGAATGAGCTACTTCTTAAATGTTTTCATTATCAGTATTTTGCTATACTATATATTAATATTATTTGAGATTCTGGTGGAGAACTTTTTGTCATATTTGTATTTGTTGAACTAGTTGTAGCATTTTTTTTATGAATAGTAACAAATTTATGAAGAGCACCTTATTGAGATTGAATTAATTTTTCAATTCTTAATCTTTTTTTTTTCAACTTTTCTAAACCAGATACACACTTTCTATTTGACATATTTTACTGATTGGCTAAAATAAAATAATAAGAAAATTAGTTTTTAAAATTAAAAGAAGATAACAATGAAACAATAAAACCCGAAAAGTGAAAAATTATATCTATGAATGAGAATTTCTTTAAGTTATTGGTATGCACTGTCACAACTATGAGCATCCAAAACCGAAACCGTAGTGACAATCACTTTGCGTGCACCTACAATGATAAATAAAAATAAAAAAATGAGATATAAAAATTATAATTTGTAAATAAAAGTACTGAACTAAATTGTTTTTTCTCATGCATTAATAATTAATTTACAATGTTTTAGAAGGGTTTGATCCTGACTGTTCAAAGACACGCAAGAAATCATGGAAAGAAGAAATCTTGTCACGAAGACAAACTTCAATTTCAATAAAGGAGAATATGTGGTACTAATCCCTAGGATGACCCATGACAAATTCACAATGCAATATCATGCAAGAAGTGCACTACAATGGATTGTCAATGGTGATAACTAAGAAAATGCATTGATGTTATTGAACCAGCACCCAGAATTATACTAACTTAGTAGTTTAAAGGATCTTACAGAGTAGGAATCAACCAAGAAAAAAAGGTAGAGTATGACTGTATTGCTCCCAATCAAGCTCTCAAATTAGACGAGAAGAAGGAATTGAGAATGAGAATGGAGAGAGAATGAGAAAGAGATAGACTAGAGAGAAAATAAAGAAATTGAAAATCTGTCATCTGTAAAAGATAAAAGTAAGTAATAGTGACTGTTGAGTGCTCAGTAACTTTTCATTTACAAAAACTAATAAATGGGTTGTGGTCTTTTAAGTAATTTTAATAATAAGAAAATAAGAGATATAAAAAATCTAAGATATGTGTCTTATAAAATATTGGATCTTATTTCAAATATTAATAATTTTTAAAAAATTAATTTATATCAATAATATTACTATTAAAAGAATTTGGACGTCTTATAAATTTGAGATCTCTAGGCATTAGCCTTAATTGCCTTATTAAATGTCCGGTCCTGCACTTAATACGTGAGCGATCTTTACATTCTTCAACTTTTGCCTCAAAATAAACATGGGAAAATCCAACTCTAACTTATCCCACACCTCCTTAACAATCATATGACAATCTAGATGATCCTTCCATATATTCAAGAAGTTAAAAGGGTAAGTGGGAGAAAATAGTTGATTTTTTTCTAACGACAAGTAGAAGTGGATAATGGTCAAACTTGCTCCAAACTCATACAACAAGAAATAGAGTCACAATAATCCAAGCATGCAACATTATAAATAGCTCTGCTAGTAATACCTAAAAAAACATAGTGTATGAGTGACTTAAACCACACATACAAGCATCACAAGACACCTAAAGTTGCACATGCATTGGACAATAACTACATAGAAAATTTGAAATTTTGGCTTATTGCTAGGATTTTGAACCCTTGTCTTTTAGATTAGTAAAAGATTTAAAATAACAAAACAAACACAATTATTTTGATTATTACACCAATTTGTTTAACTTATATATAAACATTTTAGTACAAATTCAATACCTTTAATAAATATCAGTTCATGTGATTCAACTAGTGATCCACTAATTCAGTACCTTGATCGAGTCAATATGAATGTTCTAGTTTTGATAACATTATATTAGACTCTATGAATGTATCACTGATATATAGATTTAGATGTATTTCACATTTATACTTCATACTGATACACAAATTTTCCATGACTTGACTTCAACCATTCTAATTAGATTATATTAGGATCTTTCTGAAGTCATTGTGATTATTCATTATTTAGAGTTGTTTTATTTCATTATGCAGATGACCTTTTCTCTTAAATGAGCAAATATTTACAATTTAGGATAACTTGATCATTATGAAGTTGTTGTAGGCTTTGTCAGTGATATACCTTTGGATCAGAAGTTGTTTCGATGCTCCATTTAGAAGATTTCTCAAGGATATGCATAATCAATTTTTATGTAATAATATATCAAGTTTCAATTCTTCAATCTAATGTACAGATGTTAGCAATACCAAATCATTCTAATGTAGTTACTTGAACAACTTTATTTTGATGTAGTCCACATTTAATATTCTGAGATGTATTACTTGAGTAAAGCACTCACTGATATCTTGATAGTGTATTTGGACAATATCATAAACAATAGTTGTTATCTCTACTACTCAAATGAACTTCATTTAGATCTTTTAATATTTCTTATGATGCACATTAGTTCAATGTTTTGAACCATTAATTTTGAGTTGCTCTATTTGTTTTACTCTTTTAATATTTTACTGAAACACTTAGTAGAATTGAAGACATCTTAATTTTTACCTCATTCTTATAATTTGCATTACTAGGTATTTATCATAATTAAAACCATTAAGGGTTTGGATTTAACAACAATCACATGAATGCAACTACATACAACCTAAGCTACAACTACCATTATTTAGATATACATCAAGACAACAATGAATCGAGATCATATAAGCAAACAAGCATATGAAAAAGGTAATTACAGATACAAAGCTTCCACTTGGAGTTGGGCTAGCACTTTGTTATCCCAATACGCATGCTCTTGGTGCTTAGCACCACTCCTTTGTCTCTAAACTCTTCCTTCCATGTTACTTTCACTTGGAGAGGCTCAGGCTCATTTAGCGACTATTTTATTTTATTTGAATGTTGTTTTCACTTAATAAGGCTATTCCTACTTAGTAAATTTTTGCTCTTAGGGTCATTTCTCTCGGCAAGTATGGAGCTCTCCTCACAAAGTGACAATGGTTACAAATTTGTTCTCTAGGACCTTTCGCTTAATGAAGAGGGTATTCACGTAGCAAAATGGTGACAAATAGCTGGGCTGATATTTGCTTACACTCCCACTTGGCGGATTTTGCCTTTGAAGGGCTTTTGCTTAGCAAAACTTGTCTTGATGAGAAATTATGAATTTATGCATAATTGCGACCTTCACAAATGTTTTATCCAATGGCCTTTCAACCCATTCAAATCATACATTCCACTCTTAAATCATCCATAATATGTTTCTAGACCATTAAACAACCACATCATATTTTCAATCTCTAATCACTTAGAATTTATCTTAGGGTCAAGGAGGAAAAAAAATGGGAGCGAGAGAGATATAAAACATTGAACAAGGGGAAATTGACAAACTTTTGGCATGGGATCTTTGCTCTTCATCTCGCCTCTTCTTTTCTTCCTTCCCTTTCCATCTCTTTTTACTTTCTCAACATTATCTAATCTTAGAATCCATAATTGGGGATGTTATACATAAGCTTTCTTATTGGTTTCTCCAAAAACACTTTTAATTTACAATTACTATAAAAAAGATTTTTTTTTTTTTAAATGCTTATGAAAACTTATCCAAACAAGTCTTTTTTATTTATTTATTTTTAACAACTTATGAAATAAAATTAACTATACTTATACGTGTGTGTGTATATATATATATATATATATATAAATAAGAGGGATCCTTTTACTCCAGGAGTAAGTCTACTTAGACTTCCTCCGTTTAATAACTCATGTTCTATATCAAATTTCAATAATCCAACCGTTCAATTTAAAATTCTTAATGAATAGATCAAATCTACAAATTTTTAAAAGATTTGAAAATCATTTGATAATTTGAATTAAGAACTTTTAAATTTGATACTTTGTATAAAATGATTTTATGATTATCTGTCAATTTGAATTAATGAAATGAAGTATCAAATGATTTTTAAATTTTCTAAAAATTTGCAAATTTAATCTATGCATTAAGAACTTTAAATTGAACAGTTAGATCATTAAAATTTGATGTAGAATATGAGTTATTGAACGAAATAAGTAGACTTATTCATGTCGTAAAAGGGTCCCTCCTCATATATATATATATATAATCACATTCTTGGTAAACGCGTTAATGAGAACTCTTCATTTGTTTCTTTCAACAGCTCGGAAGCAGGGATGACAATTCCAATTTGATGGCGTAGAACATACGTAGCTGTTTATGACCACGAATCCGCACTCATTTTAAATATGGTTATTACAAGACTTAAAATGACTAGTAATGGGTATATCTAGAGAATACACATTTTATTTAGTCCCTAATGTAGAAATCCAAGAGGGCACAGAATATCTAGCCTTCGAAGTCGTAAGTAGTAACCAATCCCAATTTACAAATTTGTAATCTCACTAATACATTAGACGTAAACACCGAAATTGTATGGCAAAAATAACTATCAACCGTAAAGCTTCAATAGTTCAATTATGCAAATACATTTTTTTTTCATTTAAATTTCAATTATGCAAGCAAAAATTTACAATATGTATATACAATATACAACAATTTTTTTATCCTCTTTTTCCCTATTACAAGCAAATAATTGAATTATGATGGTTTTTTATCTTAGCTACTCCAATCATTAAAAAATGGGAAATCAAGAAGAAAAAAATGAACCGTGGAACATCCTATGAACTATCAAGTTAAGGGCTAGGAGGGACACTTGAACTAGTATTAAGCAATTTCACAGCATCTTCATCCATTGGGATCTTGCTCCAACCAGAATTTCTCATGGACAAAATTCTAGCCCTCTCGAGCCCGTTACCTCTGAATCCAGTCATTCTTGATGACATCATTGGCATCACAAGAACTGATGATGCATGGATGGTATCCTCCCCAAAACCAAGAGATAATGCACAAGAAGTCTGCAAAGAGATGGAAGCTTGAATTGTCATTTATCATCATAACAAGCGGCATCATTCATGAAGAATGTCGGTGCAACTTGTAATAAATAAGTTAAATTGCACTTTTGAATAATGAAACAAAGTATCAACCAGTTTTCAAATTTTTTAAAATTTTGCAGACTAAATCTAAACTTTTAAATTAATGGTTAGATCATTAAAATTTGATGTAAAACATGAATTATTGAATAAAGTAAATCTACCAAAAACTTACTCATGGAACAAGTGAATCCCTCCTCTTTATTCATTATGTTATTTAGTTAAAGTTAAATCATAACCAACATTACAATTTTAATAATCATTAGATGGATATTAAATAAATGGACAAAAATTACTAATTTTATGAATTGGGAGACTAAAATTAGAAAATTAAAAATTGAGACTTGAGACCCAAATTACAAATTGGATACTATAGGAGGATTAAAAGTGCAATTTAACCCAATAAATAATACCTTTGCCTTAACCAACAAATCTGTAATCTTTAGTAACACTGCTTTGACAAACGATCTTGGGTCTTTGTTTTGTGCTTCTTCCGGAGACACTTCCAGCCTATAATAGATAAACAATATAGGTGTTCGTGAAAAGGAAAAACAAGAAAATGCAGTCATATATAATTCTGCCAACAAATTTGAAGAAACCTTTGGCTGTTTTAGAAGGTCAATGCAAAAGTTAAAAGAATATACTAGCAGCGCCTTAACAGTTTCTTTTTTTGTGGGATATCATTACATTGAACCAGTACTTGGGTCATTTTGCTTCCAGTCAGGCATTCAGTGATGTTTAAAATAATAATAAAATGTAGGGGCTACAATCACTTTCTGTAAGTCATGCAAAAGGTTCATACTATACCTGTTCACTTCTGTTGAAATGGAAGGAGATGACACCATGGAATCCAAAGAACTTTCTTTTGTCTCAGCACCTGAAACTTCTCAGAACAAAGTTACGTATTAATGTATTATCCTCTACATACCTCGAATAATATAAAATCGTAAAACAAAAATAAAATTGTAATACCTTTTGATTCATCAGGGGCCAGCAAAGAAATGCCAATGAACACACACATCATTCCAAGTATAAACATTGTTGTCCTTAACGCATCAAATACCTGCTTTCAGGAAGGTAAGTTTTACATGATACCTAAATTCATTATCAAAACATATTCAGCAGTCATCAAAGTAATGAGACAAGCACTCAGCATGCAAAAATAAAAAATAAAAACAATAGCAGTGCAGGCATCAAAGGTTGAGAAACAATTACTTCTAGATTCTACAAGGTGCCAGATAACAGTCTACTTATTATATAGACCAAATATCACATAAATAAATGGAGGCAGGCAGCAACTATCAGCTGCATATATCACCATCTGGTTGAAAATTTTGCTGGCAAATAGTCAAGTCCATATTCTTCATAATTTTTACCCCTATTCAATTCAAAAATGAAGTGAAAATAATAAAAGCATCTGGTTTCCACCATATCATAATGAAAAGTTAAAGCAAAAGTTGATTTTAAGGGAAGATATGCGAGGCAAACCAAGGAAATAATTCAACCCAAATAAAACTGAAGCTGATGATAAAAGGATGAAACAATTTTGGATCCATTAGACATGCTTCAGCAACAATCCATATCTTTACATTTGCTTCCCCAAAGTTTTCAAGTTTCAACTAGTGATCTTAGTTAATTAAATGATGTCAAGATACCAATCAATCTCTATATATGATGCTTTACAATATTTCAGTTAGTACATTTTGTATTTTGTTTACATGGAATATTTTCTAACTATTGGAGACAAATGGTCTTACAAGGAATTTCTAAATCTAAAATGAGGGCTTTTTCTCTATAAATGGTATAACTTCCTACGACCAGGACTAGGGAGGGTTGCTCTTGCAAACTGTTATTCCAGATTGTGATTACAAATTTGGAAAAGTGCCCGACAGCTTCCACTACATATGCAGCTTCACAATTTTAGACAGCTGCAAAGACATTTCTGGGCAAATTATAGCTAGAGAGTAAGGGGAATTTGTTTCCAGCTGAAAAGTAGAAGCAGATTTAATACAATCCAGAAACCAGCCCTGGCATATCTAGTGGAAAATACAATACCCTTCAAGAAGTAAAGAATGGAGAGTACAAATTTGTATGGCACAGAACCAACTTGTATCCTTTCCATTTTTGTGTTTTATGTATATCTGGCTGATTATATGTTATTGCAACTTTTATGCATATCTAGTCTTTTCTTATTGATAATTCTTCTTGGGCATTGTTGATAAGAAGTGGCATGAGGACAGAAAGATGCCATAGAGAAATACAGATGAATCAAAGGAGAAATGGATTATAACAGTAAATGGGTCAAGATTGTTTCTGAATACAGCTTCATATTGACTATTATATGCCACAGATCTTATTTAAAGATCATCATGATATGGTAGAAATCCAACATCAAAAACATGAGTGGCACAGACCGATGCATCATTTTTCTTCTGGCTGCCAATAAAAATATTAAATGGTCACAAATAAAAATGCCTCATTTCTCAATCTTCCTCACAAGCACAGTTAGATGGCTTCTTCCATTTGTAGCAGAGAAGGCAAAATCAGCTCCCTCATCTCTGGCATTATGCTGACATTGCTGAGAACGTTTAAAGTCTAGTTTATGTTCCACATTCTGTAACATTGGACCATTTTGCTTAACATAGGAAATGTGGCAACACGAATTATATGTAAAGTTTGATATTATTGGAAATGATGTTTTTCTGATAATTGCTTTCCAGTCAGAAATGATGCCACATTGACTTTTATAAATTTTTGTTTCGTTTGTACTTTGTACCATAGCAAAGTTTGTCCGCAGCACAATAAATGAGATTTTTTTTTTACCAAATATGGAAATAAAGAAAAAGGCATTCTCTTATTTCATCATTTGGCTTCTTTTTGTATCTTTCAGTTTGATACAATTTGTATTGACATTATTTCTATGTCAATTTATATTTCTCGCATCTTTTACACATTGTCCTACTTATTACTTTAGACTAACACAATGGGCTTAATCCGTTGACTGGACAGAGTTCACCATCCCATGGCAGTAAGATTGTATGATTTGGATTTCTATCTTACAATCTATATTTCACATAAGATCATATGGTTTTATGCATGGTTATCAGACTTGAGTGTCAAGTCATAAAAACGCACAATGTGTTTAGTAAGGCTAACCTATTTAACTCAAACAAACTTGTTTTTGAGTAGATTCGAGCAACCTCGAGCAGGATGGCACACAATCGTGATTTTAGATGCAAATATGTTCATCATGTGTGTTTGTTATTGTATGAATTTTGTAGGATTTTATGATCATATGGTTCGCAATCTTAACTCCCCTTCCCAATTCGAAGTAAAATCTCAATTTTAACTATCTTGACTATTTCATTAGTTTCTATTTTCTTTAATGAGTTTAGATTTGCTTGCATGCTCTGCAGGAAAATTAGAAGTTCACATTGTTCCTTTGCAGTCAGCTATGACCCAGGGCTCAAAGCTCAACTGATAAAAACAGAAGATTAGTTTGTTGTTTACAAAAGAGAGAAAGGTAGACCGACAGATAGACAGACTTTTATAACATGAATGGTAAATTGTAGTAGATTTATATGCCTTGCAGAAAAAATAGATTATAAATGTCACCAAAGAATGAACCTAGCAAGCAGATATGCTATGAAATACCACTTCTTCGTAACTTAGGGGCTGTACATAGAAGCAAGATTATGTCAACTATAGTTGGAGTTATATTATCTAGGCTAAGTCTGATTTTGTATGTTGAACCCATGGTGTTTCTAAATGATGTAACAAATTTGATTTTTGAAATATAAGCTCGTGTGAATCCAGTCCATCAAAGTAGATGGTGATATTTAATTATTTATCTTCAATAACCAATAATATTATTAAGTGGAAGGGAAAGTACCTGATATTCCTGAAAATATATAAATCCTGTACAGATTGAGAAGAAAGTCCACGCTATTTGAAACATGGGTACAATAAGTATTGCATCATACAACGACAGCCCTTCATTCAACCTTGTCATCTGCACAATTGAAAAAGACAGGGTTAGCGTTTTTGCATTTGGCTTAAATTAACTTCAAAAAGTTATCACATAAAAACATCAGCAACAATTGATAAGGCCCGACAAAAAATCTTTACACAAGAAAAAGCCTTACCCAAAATCCAGCAGTACTAAAAAATAATAGAAGCATGGAATATGTGAACCAGCTGTGCAACTGATAACCATTGGACATAGCCAGTCGTAATAGATTCGAACTGCCACAAAGTTGACATTAGGCACAAGGTACACGGTTATTGTGTCTCAAAGCATGACAACATGTTGAAGTAGCTGACTTACAGAGATTTGGCGAACAACACTGAGCATGAACCTACGGCCCCTGAAACTACAGCATATGAGAAGGGCAGTAGCATGCTCCAATAGGGTCTGAGGTCATGTCCTGATACTGCAAGCAGAAGTTCTCCTCTCCTGCATATTCCACGTGTTAATAGTAAAGAAAAATTGTTTGATTAAACTAGTAACAAATAATTAAATCCTACAAATTACTTGTAGATGCAGTGATGCAAGGCAACAATTGAGATCAAAGCTAGAAGGTATAGAAGGAATGCAATATTGGTATATTTCTCCGTCAACTGATCTGGTGTATAAACTGAAACACAAGTAGTTAATCACAAATTAGTTCACAACATTGAAATTAATAATTGTTTTATCATATGATTAAATTGTTTAACGGCAATCAATCATAACATTCAGCAAGCATACAGAACATATTAAACAAAAGAAATGAAATTAAGTTTATAACAGAAGCATTATAAAATTCTCCTTCCTATTTGTCATATACAAAAGCCTAGTCTACTCAAGTTGCAGTTTGCCAAATTAGAATTTTATTTATTTGATTGCAGATAATACTTGATACTGTTTGATGCACATCTAACTATCAACTGAATAACATTGTTTTTGCAAGGAAACCTAGAAGCAGAGATTTAATTTAACTAAGCAAAATGTTACATACCAGGTGATTGGTGATTGCCAAAAGCGACTAGGAAAACATTTCCAAGAACAATGAAAGCTGTTGCAACCAATACCCTGATAAAAGGTCACCAATTAAGCCACAAGAATTCACATCACAAGAGAGTGGGTAAAAAAATAAACATGAAACGGTAATCTCAGTTCAAGTTTAACATACTTGACTGTCACCATTTTGTTCAACACAAAGTAAGCGAAGGCAATGTTAGACACAAACTGAACAGACCCCAGTGCTGCAAGAAGAGACTGCACAGCACACAGAAGAATAAGTAATCGGAACATGGAAATACATCCATCAAATCAAGCAAAAGAAAATGCAATTTTACTAAATATATGCCAACAACACAGAGAAAAAAGAAACTATTATATACTATCACAAAATTACACCATATGTTGTTTAATAAAAATATTCCTATAATATTATGGGAAGCATACCTGAGCAGCATACCCAAAGGAAATAAAATTAAGGCAGTTACCAAGAAAGAAAAATACGATACCTGCATAACAAAAATTATACAATGAATTATGAGAACAAAAACCAGGAATCAGCCACTTAGATAAAATGTGCAAAACCCATATACAAATGCAATTAGAATATACCAATTCTCCAACTCTGAAAGTATATAATAGGCTTCAGTGTCATTTTTCCATTTAACCCATCACTTCCAAGTACATGTCTTTCTCTCTGAAAAAAAAAATATACTATTCAGGTTTCCCAAATAATTCGATTCTACAAGTTGCAACTTTCTCTCTGGGCCATACCTCATTATGCCCTAATTTGAGAAGATTGGTCCCAAAGTTTATTGCAATACTGCCAAAGAGGTTGATGAAAGCTCCAACAATCCACTCCCCCATGGATAAAAAGATGTGGCACAGCGAAGGTGACACCACATGCAGCAGAAAAACAATCCGAGGACTCTTACAGATGCTAGTTCTCAATCTCTGTCCACAATGCAAAACACGGGTAGAAAGGATGATACCCTTTCTTCAACACACCAAGTGTCAGAACAACAATACCCCTGTTTCACCAGCAAACATAAATCAAGCCTTCAAATCAAAATTAACACATTTAATAATGTCATCAACTAATATTTAGGAGATCTTAATGAAGCTGTTAAAGGGGTGGGGGAATAAAAGTTAGCATGAAATAGATAAAAATCCACATGAAAACACAAACACAATTGGTTCAACCCATAAAAAGTAAGACTAAATTGTGGACCCAATTTTATTTTATTTTTAACAAAGGGGGCACAAAATCTAATCCATTTGGGGGAATAAACAACACAATGTAACTATTTCGATCTTCTGATCTTTCAACATTTTATTAACACAAAAACAAAACAACAATCAAAGACAAAAAGGGGTGGCACAGCTCCTAACCCATCACGCTACCTTGAAGAACCTAGATCTGCTACATTTGCAAGAAAATTGAACCCGCAAAACCGATTCAACTAGACCATTGCAAAAATATATTAATAAAAAGGGAAATTAAAGCTCAAAAACACATTGTGCGTGGGAGGGTCAACTGGGAACCGTAAAAGCTTGAAAAAGTTACTTGATTGATTACCTGAGAGACAATCAATTCCCTCTTGGTATTGCAATAGAAAGTTGAAATTTCGAGGTTGGACGCTTGGGTTGAACGGGAATAAAGAAAGTAAGGTAGATTCAGAGGGAAGGGAAATAATAATAATAATATAATAAGGTTTTAAAACATTATAATAAAAACAAAATAAATTGTATTATATTGAATTATGAATAAAATAAAAAGGGAAATGAGACTTTTCTATTATTGGTCCAAAATGAACGGAAGATTTGTCATACATTCGAGAAGCAAAATTGATAGTGCAAGGAAATGAGGGGAGAGAATATTATGAGAGGAAAAAATACAAGGAAAAGAAAGAAAGAGAGAGGAAGTTGTCGGGTCGGGGTCATTAAAGAGAAACAGCGTGAGACTTGAGCCACCGCTATTACCGCCGTCTTCTAATTTAGGTGAAAGGATTCAAGATTCCATGATATACTCAGCGTTGCAACTAACTTCTTTACTAATCTCTACTTAGATTATAATTAAAAGATAAATATAAGATTCTTTATTAATGAGTACATAATTCAATTGTAAGAGATTAATCCAATTTAATCAATCATCTTGAGTTTGAGTTAAAATAGTTTTATTTGACTCTAATAAAATTATTTTAATAGAGATTACATGTGATTTAGATAAAAAAAAAAAAAGTTAAATATAGGGAAAATAAGAAAAAACATTACATCATGTAAAAAATAATATATAACATAATTATAATACTTAAATTTACTTTTAGTCTCTATAATTTTTGTAAATATTCAATTTTGCTCTTTCAAACTTTTTACTATAAATTTGATTTTTTTTTATTTTTAAATTAAGTAATGTTGATTTATTGTTAACATGTCATTCAAGATTAAGCACAAAATATTGTTTGCATGCTTCAGGAGCTCCATTTCCTTGTTTGTATGCCCCCCGGAAGAAATTGGGTGTTTACACTAATATGAATTCTCAAAGAAGTTTCTTGAAAGACTTACTAATGGGAATGAGTCCTATATACTTTCTTGATTAATCTTGATTAAGTTCAGTTTTAAGAACAACTAACATGCAATGTTTGGATTCAATTTAAAGCAATGTTAAGCATACAAACATATTAATCAAAATCAGTCATTTTATCACTCAATTAAGAATTTTCTCAATGTAATAGATAAAGGTGAGAGAAAAATGCACACGTATTTTATCCTGGTTCAGCCACTCCACATGTGACCTACATTCAGTCCTCAATCATAACCTGATCAAGATTTGTTCCACTATCTTAATGAAGAAGTTTTACAAGCATACCACACATGCATAGAGAATTAGCAAGAAAGCACTTCTTGTAGAAACCCACTACAAGAATTCTTTACTACTTGAGACACCTACTCAAGATTTCCCTTACACATTACATAGAGAATTAAAGGAATTAGTTCACCTAGAAGCTGAACAAATCAGATTGTGAATTCCAAACAAATCTTAATCTTTATTTCCTAAGAATGTAGTGATGATGATGATCTCTTTCAAAGCATTTCACAAAATGTTTCTCTTCTTGGTTTCACAAACAAAACACTCCAAGAAGGTCACAAAGACTTCACAATATCATGTTTTCCTCTTTTTGATTCTCAGTTCATCTCACTTCTTAAGTTTCAAAGTGTGAAAGCTATTTATAAAGTTTTTAGATCTAGATAATCGATTATTTTAAAGGATAATCGATTATTTTGTTCTTCATGATTTTTGGAAACCACTCAAGAATAAAATAATCGATTATTTTGCAGGATAATCGATTATTCCAGAGAGTACTTCCTGGAATAATCGATTATTTCACAGATAATCGATTATTACAGCAAGACTCTTTTCACCTGTTGCTGGAATAATCAATTACACTTAATGATAATCGATTATTTTGAGTTAGCTTTCAAAAACTCGATTTTATACTTCAAAAATCTTTCCAAGTGTTTTAAATCATTATCACACTCACTCTCAGTCAATTTAGATTAAGGTTAACTCATGCACAAAGCATGCACATGCAAAGTAAACTAATCAAAATAATACAACACATAAGAACTCATGAACTACTCCTATTACACATCATGATATTCATATCTTCCTTTCTTGACTTGTTTATGTCCTTGGTCAGCTTCAACTCTCAGAATCCATCCTTTGTTTTCATCAAAACTCTCATACTCCAGGGCTGAGTTGATTCACTACTCCATGAATCTCAACAATCTCCCCCTTTTTGATGATGACAAACTAATATGTTTTGCAAACCAGCACTCCACATTGTTAGATATGAGTATCTTATTATGCCTTGTTAATATTCAGACTTGCAAAACAACTCAAAACCTTTCTCCCCCTTTGGACAACATAAAAAACATACAAGTATATATATATGTCCAGATATAGGGAATAAATATTTGTAGATTGCACATGTATAGATCTATGCACAAGAGTCACTTGCCCAAGATCAATGCCACAAGACTAAATTGATAACAAGAAATCAGTCAAGCATATTTATCATAGGCATTGTTCCAATTTATCCAAATTAATACCAGATTTTGTATCATAGAACTTGATACAACATTAACAAATGTGCTCATTCAATCAAAAATGCATACCAATGCTCAAATCACAATATGGTAATATCAAAATTCAAATCAATGTAACCATGATGATTCATACCAAACACAATATAAAAACATCACCAAATATAAATTGTACTAGAAATAACATTGTTCAAACCAAAATAACCAAGATAAAACCAAATTTAAATGTTCAGAAATTAAAATCATTACAACCAAATTGAAATTTTGAACTTGAGAGTTAAACTAAAATTTTAACTCCTAAAAACAGAATATTACAACTCCTAAACGCATCACTCCGAATCATCTTGCATTCCAAGTTGAGCCTTAATCCTTGCAATCTCATGATCAAGGTTATCAAACCAATCAAGAATGCCAGAATAACGTGACTCATGTTTCCTTGTCATTTCCACGATAACATCAAGCTTATGGATCATAATCTATTCAAACGGAGAAAACTCTTTAGGCTCCAATTCTTGCTCTTGCACTAGTTCAGGCTCTACTTGTGGTGGCAGTTCCTCATCATGAGATGGGACTCCATCTTCATCCGTTTCCAGTTTTGGTGTTGGAGGAACATCACCTTTGAACACCCATTTATCTTATTGTTTTAGCATCCCCATATGATGCAAAAAAGATTTTTCAATCTTGTTTGAGGCATGGAGAATTGTCTTTTTCTCCCCTTGAAGATCTACTCTAGCCTTCTAAAAAATTCTAGACAGCAATAAAGCATAGGGTATAGGACCATCCTCCTTTCTCCTAGCCTTCCAGATACAATCATTCACAACTGAAACCCAGTCTATCTTTTCCTTTTTCTTAATAGCATGGATTAACAAAATATCAACTCTAGAAATTTGAGCATGATTATGAAGTCTAGGTTTAAGCATCCAAGCTATTATAAAAGAAATCAACCTAGAGTTTTTCTTCATACCTCCAGCCAGAAATTTGTTGTAACTTGTGATCTCCGAATTTGTTTGACAATCCCTAAAGGTTGTCAGCTCTTCAAAGTAACCAAAATTGAAAGGTTGGGGCTTCATACTTCCTGTTCCACTCAGCCCAGCCACTTCTTTCAAGGTTGGTCCATCAAGCTTTATGAGCTTCCCTTTCACCACTGATTGCATTATTCCCTCATTGCTTGAGGCGAAGCACAAAAATAGCCTAATAAGCTCCGGGTAATACGGACCTTCCAGCTCCAAGAACTTCCCAAGCTCTTGATGCTCCAAGAGAGGAGGAAAATTGAAACCCATACTGTTGAACCACTCTAACTTCAAAGTCTTCGGAGGAATGATTCTCCTACCTGTATACCACTCAAAGTAGTAATCTTGGGTTTCTTTGTCAGCAAACCATTTGGAGATCAGTTGCTCAGCTCCTGTGGGCAGAGGTCTTTCGCTCCCCCTGACTTCAAGCTTCTTGGTTCTCTTAGAAGATGAGGCCATTTCGTGATTAAAGATGGGTTCTTGATTTGGAGAAGAGAAGATGAAGATGAATGCTTAGGGTTAGGGTTTGTGTTTAAACTTGAGAGAATGAATGGGATTTATAGAAAATAAGAGGGTTATGTGATTTTAAAACCCTAGACACGAATTGGGTAGAATAGAGGTGCCACTTATGAAGGAAAGTGGGAGGTTGGGAGTTGGCGCAAATAAAATCGTTCAAAAACCGTCTGGAAAACCAAGGGTCGCGTAATCGATTATCTATACAAATAATCGATTATTTGTATCAGTAAAATCAGTTTGAAAACCCTGTCTACACTAAATAATCGATTATTTTTAGAATAATCGATTATTCCAGAGACTCATGTCTCATTTTTGCTCCTAGATAATCGATTATTCCATAGACTCACTCTTTCAATCCTTCCCAGATAATCGATTATTTGCCTAGTCTTACTTATAATAATCGATTAAATTTTACAATAGTCGATTATTTCTGAAAGTTTTGTTTCACTATTTTAAACCTTATCAAACTTTCCTCATCCATTTCAACTCTTAGAAACACTCTTTTATACACCATATTTCAATGTTCTATACACACATCAATCAAGTTTTATTCAAACAATCAAACTTAAGTGCACATTCACAATCAATTCAAACAAGACTCATTGATAATTCCAAGTCCAATTCTCAATTGATTAAATCTTTCTTTTGGTAGAGGTTTTGTAAGTATATAAGCAAATTGTTTATTTGTTTCAACAAACTCTACTACACAATCATTCTTTTGGACATGATCTCTTAAAAAATGATGTCTTATTTCTATATGCTTTGTCTTAGAGTGTAAGATTGGATTTTTTGTGAGATTGATTGCACTTGTGTTATCACATCTTAAAGGAATTTGGTTCAATTCAGTTCAATAATCTTTTAGTTGTTGTTCCATCTAGAGGATTTGTGCACAACAGCTGCCAGCGACTATGTATTCAGAGTTATACTTAAAGCAACGCATGCTTGATTTTTGCTATGCCATGAGACAAGTGCACTTCAAAGTAGGTGACATGTACCACTTGTGCTCTTCTTATCAAGTCTACACCCAGCATAGTCTGAATCCGAATAAGCCAACAAACTTAGTGAGATTCCTTTTGGATACCATAGACCTACATTTGTTGTTACTCTTAGATATTTAAGAATTATTTTAATAGACTACATATGAGACTCTTTTCGATTTGCCTAAAATCTAGCACACAAGCACACAACAAACATTATATCAGGTCTACTAGCTGTCAAATATAAAAGTGATCCAATGATACCTCTGTATTTTGAGTTATCAACAGCTATCCGTTTCTCATCCAAGTCAAGATTGCTTGAGTTTGATATTGGTGTTGCAGCCTCCTCACTCCCTTCCATACCAAACTTTTTCAATAGTTCATTGCAATACTTGCTTTGACTTATAA